GGCCGCACCGGGCAGCGCAGCCCGCTCCCGGGCCGCAGAGCGTGAGTCCTTGGCGCACACCCCCTCCACTAGGGACAGACTTCCGGAGGGACTGACACGACCCCGCAGAAGGAGGCCGGTTCCATTTTGTGACGGTATCGATAGGTTTTTTTTTTTTAAGAGGAGACGAGCATCCGCATATTTTGAATTTGAATATAACAAAAATCTGTGAACTCTTTATATATGTAAAGCTCAGGCCGATAGCCTCCCGGCCTCCCTGCCTGCGTCGGTGGAGCAGACGAAGAGTCCTAGAGAGACGGTGGCACGGAAAGGCAGAGAGGTGAGATCAGTGGAGGCAAGAAGAGAAGATAGGCATAAAAGAGAAGGGGAGATCAACAGAGACACCTCCTCTAGCGACCACCATCCTGTTTGGCCTGGGCTGGGCCTCTTTCTAGTTGTTTCTCGAAACCAGGAGCAAGACTGGAAACAGCCTGGGCGTGTCATGCTCCTTCCAGGCCCCCAGCCCTCCTCCAGGACTAGATATGACTTCCTCCTCCCACCCCCCACGGACTAATGGCCCTGGTTCCCTACCAGCCAGGACAGACGGCTGCCTACCCACTTCCACTGTCACTCACCTGAGAAAGGTGATCACTGGAGGAAGCCACGGCAGGGGGGTCTAAGCCGCGGGTGCTGAGGGTGGGCTTCACGGCAGCCGGGAGGCAGTGGGAGGCCTGCAGTAAATGAATACCAGGCAGGGTCCCTAAAGAGCATCTGGACAAACACCTGTACTCTCCCCATAGGAAACTGAGGCCCAGAGAGGGGAGGGCATTGGCCAGGGCTAGAGAACCCTGGAGTCCTGCCCCCACCTTGGGTCAGTCCTCCCAGACTTTTTGGACTTCAATTTCCCATCTCAAGAGTAAGGGTATGATGACAATCCTTACCCTGCTTTTTTCCAGGTGGGTTCTAAGGATAAAATGAACACAAGCGAGGGATTTGTCAGCTATTAAGTACTGTGCCCATGAACATCTGTGATGAACAGAGTCTCAGAGGAAAGCAGTGGATTTCAGCTACAGGTACTCAGAGGCCCCAGGGGCCAGAGAAGAGAATGAGACAGAGCATTGGAGGTGGGTGGGCTTATGCTGAGGCTAGCTCCAGACTGACCTGTTCCAGATCCTGAATCAGCTCATGGGAAGGGATCAGGCAGCAAAATGGCCACCCAAGAGGTCAGAGCAGAATGTCCCAGCTTCATAAGAATGCTAGCTTGGCCCCTTTTCTGGAAGCTCACAGCCCCCTTCTCTGATTCCTGGCCTAGAAGGGCTTGGGCACTCAATGAAACCACAGTGGGATGCTCCCCAGGTCCCAGTCCAGGATGGGGCCTCACTCCGCCCTGGGGAGGCGTGCCTCCTTTCTCATGTGGTGCACTGAAGTGAGCAGGCTTGAGTGGGGAGCCCACTTGCCACCTATCCCAGCCGAGCCCTTAGCATATCTCCCAGATCCCACCTCTGTCAGTTCATACTGTAGACTGAAAAGCAGAAGAGAGGAATCACCCCACAGGCCTTGTGAGAAGCTTTCTGAGAGCCCAAGGCTCCCTGCCTCAGTTCTAGGCCCTGAGCTTACACAGCCCTCAGCCACACCAAGTGGCTCAGCGGTACCCTGGTGTCCCTCAAGCCTGCTGCTGGAGACCTCAGTTTATCCCCTACCCTGATGAAGAATGAGCAGCCTTACCCCAGGGAGAGCTACCTTCACTCCCTCGACCACTTCAGTTCTCAGAGCCCTTTCCCAGCCCTCAGCCCATCTGCTGCCTGCTGCAGTGTGAGAAGCGGCGCCGCTCTGTGGACAGGAAAGCAAGGCCCAGGGAGCTGGGGGGAGCGGATGTGCCAAGGGCAGAGCACTGGAGCTGGGACCCTTCTGCCTGACTTCATGATCAGGGTCGTTGCAGGTCAAACCATCCTCACTGTCACCATGGAGCGGGACACTGGGACAGGGTGGGGAGGGCAAGAGAGACAAGCCTCAGATAGACATTGCAGCAAGACAGAAACCGAGGGGTTAGCCAGTGACTGTGGAGAGGGTTTCTGCCTGGAGGATCAGGCTGAAAACGATCTTACCTGAGGACACAGACACAAAGAGGTGATTCCAGAGGGGGAAGTGAGCCAGTGCCAGCCCAGAACTGGGAGAGGTCAGGGCACCTTCCAGGAAAGGCTATGACACTGACCATGAGCGGAAAGGCCTGTGGGGACTCAATCACATGGGGCCCTTAAGACCAGGCTGAGGTCTGATATTGTTGGATAACGCTGGGGAGCCACTGATGGTGCAATGACCACCCTCAGGGCCTTGGACTGGAAACCACCTTCCTTCATTAATGCCACGCCTTCCATCTTCTTTGGAAAATTAGACATCATCACTACCTCCTGTCTGAGTCAGAGAAAAGGTCTACCTTCCCCATATGCTCAACTGTGATGCCATCCTTACCTGTGCAGCCCCTGGTAGTATCAGGAGGAGGGACAGTCCCTAGGCTGAGCCATGAACCAAACGCATGCCCAGCCCTTGAGGGCTGTGGGGCCAGGTGAGATCCGGCAGGTGTTAGCACTCACCTGGCTCAGGCTATTTATAGAGTCTGTGTCATCCTCAGAATCAGCAGCGATTCTCTCCACTCGGCCCAAGTGATTTCTTCTCCAGGTTGTCGACCGTCTTTGTCACCTGGGGATCCTGTAACACTGTCTTTCAGCCTCACAGACCCAAAGAACAGCAGTTTTTGCTGAGCTCAGAATCTCATTCAGGGGTTGCAGACTCAGACACCCGCAGGGCATCATATGCAGTGGCGAGCGGGTAGAATCCAGGGAGTGAGGGGATGTGGCACTGTATCTAAATGCTAACACAGGCTGCTGCTGAGGCCAGTCCATTGTTGTATGTGGGATTATTGTGTCCAGTCTTCTCATCTTTCAATAAAAGCTGAAGATTAGGCATTATGGAAATTTAGTTTTCAAATCTTGTGAACTGATTTTAAAATAAAGTTAAACACCGAACAAGCCATAAACAACATATCCATAACCTAGATGAAGTCTCTGGGGTGAGAGTTTGCAAGCTCTGATTTCTGTTGTATAGGTTAGCAGACTGGAGCTCAGAGAGGGATGGGGACTTGCCTATGGTCACACAGCCGGACAGGACCAGGAGTCAGACCCTCTCTTCCCTCTCACAAGGGCTCTTTGTG